AACTTGCAGACTGAGAAAATACCAAATAATATTTACAGCTCTTAGATGTACCTTGGTAGTTGCACGTCTGATTGAGTCCGATGCAACTTCAGCGTTCTTACTTAATCAGTCTCTTCAATGACAATTCAATCACTTCCGTGCGACTCAGCCATGAATCTCGAGATCAGGAATATCCCCAAGATGGCTCGGTATTCTTTCTCCCTCTTCCCCACTTCCGACACACATCGCATTTCACCGCTGACTAGGATCTCGGCAGCACCGAGTTCACGGATCATCGGCAACCCAATCAAACTCCTCACAACCCACGATCCATCTCCAAGCATAAACGTGGCCCATTTCATATCGTCCGAAACATGCATATTTGAAACGAGAGTGGACTGGACAAGCCTCATCAAATCCGAAGAGCCGCCTGCGCAACGCACCGCCACATTTCCATCCCTCACTCGTCGAGTTGTGCATCAACGTCACGATACATAACCTTGGAAACTTCATTGAACTTGCGTGAGCGGGTGGCAGTGCAAAAGCATAGCGCAGCTTCATTCTTCCGCTCTCCGCAAACTACTCCGAGCTCACTAAGGGGCGATCTCTCTGGAAAATCTTAGGGCAGCTGGCCAGGCCCTTCAGGCCAAAAATAAAAACCACCCGCCAGAGATGCCATGGCAGAGCCGCGTACCCGGCGTTAAAACGGCGCGTTGGGACAGCCAATGGCTGGGCGTGCCTGGTGCAAGGCGGCTAGGGTCTGGCTCTAGCGAGGCGTCACAGCTCCCTCTAGCGCCGACATCTTGACAGGGCACGACAGGGATCGACGGTCCTTTTCCATCCGCTCTCACGGGCAAGGGACACGAGGCACTGCTCGTAGCTCTGAACTCTCTCTCACTGCCGTTACTGCTTACTGCTGCCGTTGCTTGCTTCACTCTTGGCTTTCCTTACACTCTGCTTTGTACTCTCTTTCTGCTTTGCGCGTATACCCACTTGTCATTTTTCCTTGTGAAGCGCAGCAACCCGAATAACCCCGAATACGACCAGCGGCGATCTTTACGATACATACAGCAGATCTTACTAAGATCTCATTGAGAGAGAGGGGAACACGAGGAAGACATGCGCTGAGCTCTCGGACCCGAGATCGACCCCCAATACCACGTGTAGCCATCACACGTGCTACCACAATCGCTACCACACCTTCGCTACACGTTACACCCGTCACTCGCTATGGCTTCCACAGTACCGAACGTGCTGCTCCGGCGGGACCTGAGCATAGAGCAGAAGTTCGAGCAGTTGATGACAGAAAATGCCCTGGGCGCTTCGGTACACGCAGCCCCCCATCTGTCGCATACGACTCTAACACGTCCAGGTATCCCAAGACTCCGTCCTCGTCGCTATCGGCACCTCCTTCGGCATCACCGCCGCTATTTTCATACTTTTCCTCCTACTACGTCCTTTTAATACTATCGTTTACGCGCCCCGTCTCCGACACACCGACGAGAAACACCGACCGCCGCCTCTCGACAAATCGCTGTTCGCGTGGTACAAGCCCGTGTTCAAGACGAACGAACCCGAATATGTTGAGAAGATTGGACTGGATGCGACCATCTTCCTGCGTTTTGCGCGCATGTGCAGGAACATGTTTGTCGTACTCGCCATTGTTGGGTGTGCGGTGATTGTTCCTGTCAACGTCATCAAGTCGGTGGAATTCCAGAAGAATTTCGATGGAGATATGAGCGGCAAGATCATCTTCCTGATGACACCTAGAGATCTATTCGGGCAGGTTTTCTGGGCTTTCGTCGTGCTGGCATACCTTATCGACATCATCGTTTGCGGCTTCTTGTGGTGGATGTACCGCGCTGTACACCGGATGAGGCGCCAGTACCTCGAGCACCCAGACTACCAGAACAGTCTGCACGCGCGGACGTTGATGGTTACGGACATCGACCGCAGCTTTCGCAGCGACCAGGGCATTGTGGAGGTTACGGACAGCTTGAAGACTACGCCGGAGGTGCCCCGCGCGTCCATCGGACGCAACGTGAAGGACATCCCAGATCTTATCGAGGCACACGAAGAGGCGGTCATTGAGCTGGAGAAGATATTGGCAAAATATTTGAAGAACCCGAACAAACTACCTGCCGAGCGACCGCTATGTACTCCCTCCAAGAAAGACCCAGAGTTCACCGACAAGGCGCAAAAGGTGGATGCAATCGACTACCTCACAGCGCGCATTCAGCGATTAGAAGGCAAGATTAAGGAGGTGCGGGAGACAATTGACAAGCGCGATGCTCTATCGTACGGATTCGCTAGTTACGAGAGTATCGACTCTGCGCACATGGTCGCCTTCGCAGCGCGCAGCAAGCACGTCAAAGGCACCACCGTCCGACTTGCACCCAAGCCAAAAGACATCATCTGGAAAAACCTTACCCTCGACCCCAAGACGCGACGCTGGAGGAGGACCGTGAACAACTTCTGGATCACCCTGCTCACGCTCCTGTACTTCATCCCCAACGCCTTGATCGCCGTATTCCTGTCCAAGCTCTCCAACCTGGGTTTTGTATGGCCTACCTTCCAGACCGAACTAGCCGCACACGCCGATTTCTGGGCCGTCGTTCAAGGTCTCGCAGCTCCGGCACTTACCTCGCTCTTTTACTACTTTCTCCCCATCATCTTTCGCCGCTTGTCCATCAAGGCGGGGGACACAACCAAGACATCCCGAGAGCGCCATGTCACAGCACAATTATACGCCTTCTTCGTCTTCAACAATCTCTTCGTCTTCTCGCTCTTCAGCGCCGTCTTCGGTATGATTGTCATGATTGTCAATCTCGCGACCCAGGAACATGTTCCCTTCATGGATATCCTACGCCAAATCAAGTTCTTTGACACCACCATGCGTACGCTGTGCGAAGTCTCGCCCTTTTGGGTTACCTGGCTCGTCCAGCGTAACTTGGGCGCCGCTATTGATCTGGCCCAGGCTGTCAACCTGGCATGGGGCAGTTTCTCGCGCAAGTTCTTGAACCCGACGCCTAGGGAGCTGATTAGTCGGACTGCGCCGCCGCCGTTTGACTATGCGAGTTACTACAATTACTTTTTGTTTTACTCGACGGTTGCGTTGTGTTTTGCGCCGTTGCAGCCGATTACGCTGGTTATTGTGGCGATTTACTTTACGCTCGATAGCTGGATGAAGAAGTATCTTCTGATGTAAGTTTCAATCCTAACGTACTCATGTGCCTTAACTAATGGCTTTTTAGGTACGTCTTCTGCACCAAGAACGAATCTGGTGGCGCCTTCTGGCGTGTGCTCTTCAACCGCATGCTCGTTGGCACTTTCTTCTCCAACTGCATCGTCGCACTGCTGGTCGTAGCCCGTGGTTACGAACACAAGTGGACTATGCTGGCCGCCATGGCACCCCTTCCTCTCGGCCTAATCGCCTTCAAATTCTACTGCAAGAACGCCTTCGACCACTCGCTCAAGTACTACACGCAAGGCACCCGTGCCAAGGGCACCGAAGCCCCAACCCCAATCGACAAGGAATCGCGTCGTAGGGATCGCGTCGCCGTGCGATTCGGGTAAGTTCATCTACACTTTGCAACGACAAAAGAACGATATACTGACATGTTTCTCCCCTCCAGCCACCCAGCCCTCTACCAAAAGCTCACCGTCCCCATGGTGCACGAAAAATCCAAACACCTCCTCGCCGAAGTCTACCGCGGCCGCCTCGACGGCGACATTGGCGACACCGCCGCCTTCTCCGACGTCTACACCATGAAACGCATGTCCAAAGAACATCCTGGTAAAACTGCCGCTTCCTCCAACATCACCAGTGGAGGGGGCGGAACCGGCCCCTTTGAATTCGTGTCGGAATCGAATATGGATTACGAGAATTATAAAAACAGACCTGAGTTTAGCGATGAACACGGGGGCGAGGGCAGTTTGTACGGCGGTAGTACGGTGGGGAGGCCTGATACACCGGGGAGTCATTGGGGTCGCGATAACTCGACAGGCAACAACAGTGATCGTGGGAGGAGTACGAGTCGCGACTCGGAACGTACGATGCGCGAGGATCCGGGCGTGTTGTACCCTGCTGGCTACCACCAGACACCTAGTGCGTTGCGCGAATACAGTCCTAGTCCTAGTCTTGATTTGAGGGGCGTGGATAGTAGAGAGAGTCCGTATGAGATTGGAGGAGGGGATCAGGGGAGGTTGGTTAGTGGGGCTGCGCCGATGGGGGTGGGGAGTGGGCTGGGAGGTGGGCAGCAGCAGTATACGCCGTATAGTCCTAGTAGGGATGGGGCGAGGGATTATTTTGCGAGGTAGTAAGAGGGGCATGGGGATATGTGTGTGTGTGGATGACGAATTTCCTTGTGTTTGATATCATATAATTGCTGTCTAAGAGCGGCATTTTGATGGGCGTTTGTGGGTTTAGATACCAGAAGCTTATCAAATTCAAGAGTATTGGAGTCTTCGACAGCTACGTTACCCGATTCTCCAACACACAAACCCACTAATTCTTCACAAACTTGCTCCCAACAGAGATATGACTAGGCATCATATGGGTGGGTGGGGGGGGCGGAGGGGAGGTGGTGGGGAGGTGGAGGATCCTAATCATGCTGAGCACGAGTGACTGATGTCTGGACTTGAAGTAGCGTATCGACTTGTGGGTAGGAGGTGCAAAGGCTTATGGCGAACGGGGTGCGCTGGGTTGATCTTCGTACGTTTTCATGGCGCACGCTAGGCTCGATAGATTTAGAGGAATTATTGTAAGGCCGGTTCATTCGATAGGTTATTGTTAGTTCTACTTATACCAAGACGTTATTACGACATAGAATGATAAGGATTAAGTATGTGTAGACACATCTGTAAGCGCTGGAGGAGCTGTAGAGCAAGAACTGTTGATCACCTACTTTTATGCGGCTGTTAGGGAGTCTATCACAGTAGAATACGGACGCAAAGTAGAGCAAGGCAACTTGAATGTATTGTTCGGAATGCCGATTTCTATCCCAAAGACCTCGTGCACACTAAGTCTTCACAAACTTGCCATCAACGGAAATGTGACTAGGCATCATATCCTTCAACATCCCCACATCCACCTTCAGCGGATTAACCCCCCAAACCGCCATATCCGCCACAAACCCCGGTAGAAGCCGTCCCCTCTCCCCCTCCTCCCTCAGCAGTTCCGCCGCCTTGGTAGTATGCAACGCAACCGCTTCCTCCACAGTAATAGCATGCTCAACCCCCCTCACCCCAATCACAGTCTCGCGGCTCGCCATCCCCCAAACCGACCGCATAGCCGCAAAACTACCAACAGGATAATCGCTCCCACCCGCTATCAGCGCACCAGCATCCAGCCAGGTACGAGCGGGGAAGGTGCGGGATACGCGATCGTGGCCCCAGTATACCTCTTGTACCCCCGCTGCGTTGTGGAGAAGCGGGTGCTGGATAGTCGTCGCGATTCCGAGGTTTACCGCTCGGATTTGTTCGCTGGGTGAGATTAGGCCTCCGTGTTCCATGACCAGTGTTCCGGGCTGTAAGTACGGAAACCGCTGCATGAGTTCCTCGTATACATCCAATACCAACTTGACAGCCCGATCGCCATATGCGTGTGTGCCTATCTTCCAGCCTCGACGTACGACCGCGGTCATGGCTTCCACGAGAGCCGGTTTCTCCCATGTGAGCATCCCGTGGTATCTGGGTAAGCCGCAACAATTGCAATCCGCGTCTTTTTCGCGACCGGGCGGTATCTCGAGGAAAGGTTCGAAGACGGCGCCTGCTTCCATGCCGCCGTCGACCATGAATTTCACGCCCCAGACGGAGAGGTAGGGGTCCGTTTGCATATGCCGGTAAGACTCCATCTTGTCAAGTAAACCCTCGACCTGCTCTGCGGACGTCATGCCCACGGCGGGTATGAGGGCATGTACGCGCACGTGAAGTTTGCCGGCTGCGTGGGTAGCGACGAGGGCGTCTAGATCAGCGAGCGGGACGTAGCAGTCGCGGACGCAGGCTGTTCCCGTTGCGGCGTACGCACGGCTTGCGGCTTCTAGTCCAGAAACTCGTTCCGCGAGGGTTGTGGATGGCTTCAATTTGAGGACGGGGATGGTGGCTGAGTCTTGGAATAGACCGGATAGACTTCCGTCTTCTTCTTTTCCGATGAGGCCGCCCGGTGGTGAGGGCGTGGAGGAGGTTATGTTTAGTAGTCCTGTAATGACTGAGTTGACTACTACGTTGTGACCACCGCGCATTACCATGATGGGATGTTTGGTAGACACTGCATCGAGTTCCTTCAACGTTGGCAATCTCTGCTCTTTGATGTTGTACTCCAGCCAATCCGTCGCCGTACAAATCCATTCACCCTCTTTCGTCTCACTCGCCCGTTTCTTCAATCTTGCGAATAGTTCATCCAGGTTCTTGACGTCGTTAACTGGGACGTCAAAATTGGTCAGACCGGCGAGAATCAGATGTGTATGCGTATCTGTAAATGCGGGGAGGACGGTGGAGTCTGGTACGTTGATGATCTGGGTCTGGCTGCCGATAAAGTCATCTAAGCCTGCTGGATCCTCGGAGAGAGCGATGATGCGTCCGGAGAGGAGGGCTATAGATCGCTGTGGTGGCATGCCGGAGTGCAGTGTTTCGATTGTGCCGGCGCGGATTAGGGTGTCTGCTTGGGGGTGGGTGGTGAGGGAAGTCATGATGAAGGAAATGTAATGTGTTAATTCAATAGTGGTAACGCTGGCTTGACAGAACAATATTAAAAAGTTCGAGTTGATCGTGTATAGTCGTACATGTTCACCAAGTACGTGCTCGTTCTACTTGTACTCAAGCGTTCGGCCGAAAGAGTAGCAAATGCCTCTGCGTACCTTTCGTACCATCATGCGCTACGGTTGATGTGTGCGGACACATGACATGGTCTTCGTACAACGTCGCATATTGAGATTATGGCTTGACCAGTATTGCGATTAGGTTGTGGCGGTAGAATGTACGGCATGGATCTCCTGGCTCTAGGTCGGTGGTCGCGTGATCAGCAGGCCGAAGACGGCGTTCGGGCTTCCAATATGCCGCACTTCAAATTCCATGACCCATGATATAAAAAACATAGTCGAGAATGTAAGGTGGAGGAGGCGTGGAGATTCTAGTACGAAGCCAGTGCTCTGCTCAGCCATTCGGTGGAGACCGAGGTGGTCCTCGTGGCGGGGTAACGCGCTAATCGGATTAGCGCAGGAGCCTCAAACTTCATCTAAGGCATCCTCTCCTCCTCGACCACCCCCCGAACATTGGGACATCGCTGCATCTCAACTGTCACGTCCCGCTGAAGCTTCTGTCATTATCATTACTCATCGGTCGGGTCGAGCTCGATGCGTCCATCATTCCTTGCCAAATCGTTTTCTGGGGTACATTGTATCGTCCTCTTCTTGGACTGAGTGGCTGGCTTCCTCTCATTGCTTTATCGATTGATCGCACAGTCGCAGGTACCATCTTTACGCGCGATCTACGTTCTCTGCTTTTGCTGGACCAAGCAGATCCCGCTAGCGACGACGACCTGTGACCCCAGCGGAAAGGACCACCGGGGCGTGTCCCATGCTGTTTGTTTCGTTCAAGACTGTGAAGTAGATGCTTCAGTATTGTATACAAGTCGTCTTACAGGCTGAGCGAACACGTCTTTGTCCCTTGTTTTGGATTGAAAGCTGCGGCGAAAGTCTACCACTGCCAGCGCAATCGCGATACGTACAAGTTCCTTTCGTCCCAAGTCATTTATCGATAGACCATTTGCGAACGTCGAACTGAGACTCCGCAGTTCAAAAGAAGACGTCTCGTGGAAATAGTCGTTGAGACTGTATCTGTTTCAGGGTATCGAATAGGTTAAGCGCGCACAGACTCCGCGTCAGTAGCTCTCTTTTCTCCATACTCTGTCATTTCGTCCAATACTTGCGCCTACTATCTCTTCTTATTTCTAGAAAAGACGCGCGTTTGAGTGCCGGCGCTCATCATGGATCATCTACCATCTCTTCTAGTGGATACCTACAAACGGTATGAGTTCGCCACCTAGATCGTCTACCCAGGTTGGCTAACCACTTCCTTTCATCTCAGATACAAAAGTGGTACGCAAATTGTAGCTACTTGGCTGGCAACATCAGCCGCCAAAATGCAGTCCATTGACCACTTGTTGATCAAGAACGCACGTCTCAAGGGACAAGCTCGCGCTGCAGCCCGCCAAAACGGAGTGAGCGAAGTACCTCTAAACGCATTCAAGACCTTGGTCGACATCCTTGCGAAGGCCAAGATCACTTTGCCGACCGATATCGAAGCTATCTTGTGGAGTGTCATCACCGCTCGCAAAGAATGTGCAGGGTTCTACCGAGCGAAACCAGAGCGAGAAGCTGGTGATGACCTTGATGATGAAGGCCATCAGTTCTTCATCGACATCCTCGATTACTATTACCACACGCTTAAAGCGCCGACAGCAGGCAAGACCAAAGAAGAACGCGAGAAAGGAGCATCTGCGAATAGTCGCACATCCAACTTCTTCGAACACCTCAGTCTGGTTCAAGAGCATGCTGAGCCATCGGGCTACGTGCCTTCGGTATCGACAGACATGCAGAGCCGAAGCTACCGTATCAAGGAGTCCTCCAACCGAAAGAGTGAAAAGGCATTTGCGCTTTTCTGTTTCCTCAAAGATATGACAGCAATTCGTTTATTTGTCCACAAAACCTGGCGCGGATACAAGGAACGTAGCCTGGCGCTCACCACAGCAGCGACGACCGCCAATGTCGCAGTTGACATCTTGCGACGGGTGAACGAGGCCTTCCTCAAAGACTTTCCAGAATTCGAAAGCCACCACAAAGTGATCAATTTCCTTGAGAGCTTCGAAGAACAAGGTACCAGCGGCATCACCCGGAAAGACGAGATGGGCTGGTACGATCTCGATGACTTCAAACTGTCACCGCAAACCTTCGTCTGCAAAGACACTTATAACGTATATTTTCGAGACCACCTCTTCGATCACGACGGCAAGAAGGAAGTGATGGTAGATTATCACTCTGGCAGGAAAACTGCCAGAACCGAGCAGACTCACATGAGAAGGTGCCTTAGCGTCTTCTTGAGCCTCTCTAGGTCAGCCGATGTGGGCGCATTCACACGAGACCATGATATCCTAGCTCGCGCAATTCACACAATCGATGAGGAGCAAAAAGCAAGCACTTGGATCATATTCGCACTCCAGATGTTCGTCGACATGCACCGTGAGCTTGGTGCGGAAGTGCCTCGTGCGCATAGGGATCTCCTGGATGGTAACGCAAGAATGAGTGGCGCATTGAGACGGTACATCGACTTTGCACAAAATCACGACGGCGAATGGGGCCGATACTTGTACACACAACTAGCCGACTCATGGCATCGCCTTCTTGAGACTCTTGAAAGGGTTGACCATGTCAGCGACACGTTCAAGATGCACAATTCGTGGCTCGGGGGAGGAACCTTGGTGGATGGCCCGTTCTACCTCGAGAACCAACCAACCTATGCTGGATGCACACTAGAGCGTCATAAGGAAGGTGTGCACCTGTTCGGTGTTGAGGCTGCAAGACATTCCGAGCAACTCTTGTTCGCCTGCCACATCTACAATGCTGGACTCAAGAACGGGCTGCTGCGACGGTGGCCTGACATGGAATATCTGATTGCCAAGCAAACCGAGACGCACCTGTTCCTAGGAACCCGTCCGGTCGGTTACGAAGAGTGCGACAAGCGTCTACTTCTAATGCGAGGATTCAGTCCCAGTGTGCTTGCCAAACACAAGCGCGCCGGCAGGCCAATGTATGAGTTGTTCGAGACGATGGACACGAAGAAGAACTTAGGCGGCCGCAAACTGGAAATCTTCTCCGCTTTCGTTAGACAGGCTTCCGCTTTTGACGGCCTCAAGCGGGTGATGCTGAAGACGGACGAGAATGGCAAGAATAAAAACGAGCCGATCTGGCTTCTGGAGCGCGTAGTCCGACATCGGCTGGAAAAGGGGTCGAAGACGTCGAAGCAAGGTAAGCGTCGTAAGCAGGAACTCAGTCCTCTCCAGACGCTTGAGACTTATCGAGACGCCATGAAGGAGGATGAGTTCCTTCTCAATTTTGACATCATGACGCTGGATCTCATCGCCAACAAAATGATCCATGTGATCAAAGCCTGGTTGCGAGACTTTGGAGACTTGAAAGCTGGCTCGGTTCCTGGATCCAAAGTCAGTCTGAAATGTATCCGAGACATCGCAATGGCATCTGCGATGTTGTCCTCGGCAAACAAGAAGCCGGAAATCTGGGACGTCCTCGATCACATCATTAGTCGCGTCGGCAATATGTGTTACTTGCGCGCAGAGGCCCATCGCGGTACCGTGAACCTTCAGCCTCGCAACCCGGCATACGAAGGGCAGTTTCTTCCTACTGCTGCAGTCTTTGGCGGCCCAAACTCGCCAGAGGTCCCTGAAGACTGGGAGAATAAGTGGGATATCGTTGCTGGGAAGGGAGCGTATGACTACCACGTCTCTACTACGGCGCTTTTGACATTGGAGCAGAGAGCCGCCGATAAGGCGCGTGAGGAGTTTTTGGAGAAGCTCATTCCTATCAATTATCCGGACTACAGCCAGGAACAAATTTGTCTGGATCTTGGAATGGAGTATAGGGATGTCAAGCGATCGTTTCTTGTGCATTAACGGGAGTCTTTTTGACTACATGTCGTCTGTCTTTTGGTAGTGCGTAGATTTGACGGATGCAATCGTTTCGTCATCGCAGTCACGACTCATGCGGAAAGTGATAATAACGTTAAGTAAAAGGTGACTGGTGTTAGATGAACGTGTCCTGTATTGCGATGAGCGTAAAGAATGCAGGAGAAGAGGCGTTTTTGTATTGCCCACCCGAAGAGGGATAAGATGATATGAGATGACGTAATCACCGCCGATCACACGCGCGTGGCTGGACGCGACCCCACGCTTCCAACACGCGTCAAGATGCTCACGAATCGTGATGCCGCCCAAGAGAGGTGCGTATATCATCAAGAGCCTTGAGACGGGCTGGATTGACGTGATCAGCTCCCAAACGCAAGGCTACCGATGACGCAACAGTCAGTCGCAATGCCAACACCGCCAAGAGAGTCGCGCAGGAGAACGCGAACTTCGGTACTCCAAGAGAGTGGCCGATTGAGGCCAGGAAAGGAATAAAGAATGCGCTCGAATCTTCTCTTCTACCGAATGCCGGCCAACCGGTCTCCGATGAGTCAGATTCAGGCGAATCCGAGCTCGCCGATTTCGAGGTTGACGGCGATGGCTATGACGCGGCCATCAAAATGGAAGAAGAGCACGAGAAGCGCGTCGAGAGAGCGCACAGACATCTAGCGATAAGACTTCATCGAGAAGAGGAAGTGGAAGTCGGTGACGTACGAGGTGAATGGGATCTCTACTCTCCCAACTATCTTGACCTACACGAAGTCGACAACCGAGCGTTGATATACACTGGACGGTTCAACTTCCATCAGTGGAAGACAGGGAAACTCATCATTGGAGACCACAGTAACGACACAGCGCTCTCTTCGATGGAAGCCACCGCAAAGCTTTCCCTCTACGGCCTCAAGAACGAATGGCACCTGCCCCTCAACCTTCCCAAAGCCCCGTCTGTGGAGATGCAACCACTTCAAGGCATCCGCCAAAACTATGAAGGTGCTGGAAACCCAGAGGTTCGACTCGGTATATCCTTTCTAGGAAACGGCTACCTGAAGATGCGGATACCGGGCATATACATTGCCGGAAAGAAGGAATGGAGAAGACATCTTACGTTCTATGGCATCAACCGCACATGTCCGCCACGAGAGATGGAGAGCCCTGAGCCGCTGCCACGACCTGCGACACCGCCGCCGGCGGAGGGATTCAAGTACGGCAAGAGAGGCAATCTGGTTCGCATATCGAAGTCGCGACAGAAGCCAGCGCCGCAGACAGCGCCGGTCGAGACTGTAGATGATCCTGATGATGAGCTGGTATCTTCAGATGAAGAACTGAGACGAAGGCTGCTGGAAGAGTTGGATGATAGCTTGTTCATCAGCTGGCCGGACGACAACTAGGAACTGGAGTATTGTCGATATCTCTACGTGTCTCCGCGGAAGGCTTGATTGATGCGAACGCGTGCTTCAGTGGAAACCCTGTCATGGTGACCGCGCCAAGCGTGTATCAAAGATAGTGGGTGTATCCTTCTAACAGATGCCACATCCAGCCTGGCTTGCTCATGTGCACGCGAGGTATGGCACAAACACATGTGCTTCCCTCTGAAAATGATTGCTTAACACACAAGGCGAGCGCTTTTGACAATCAGCCGTCTGGGGTGAAAAGCCCTTGACTCGCCACGAAAGGCATCTCTCTATTTTCACATCTTTTGCCATCAGAGATTGCGGAACAATGGATGTGCGCGCAAGCCTCAAAGAACCCGAGCAAGCCATGGAACAGTATCAAGCCATGCTACAAGAGGCTAGACAGATGAAAAGAAAGATTCCCGGAGACCGCAAGAACAAGAATGCATTGCTAGCAGCCTTCCTACCGGCGCAGGGGCTTGGAACAGTGAGTTCTGATAGCGAGGAGAGGCTTCTGATCAACACATCGTTCTTACCACGGGCATATCCGCCTTCCGTCGCCCCTCTCAAGAACTTGCAGCCTATCGCGATCAAAGACCTTCGGCTTGAACGACACCATAGCGGTCGCTATATTGTACTGCGGTCCATCACGTCTCCAAAACGCATGGCAGCGATTGAGGTTCTGGCGGAAGACGAGCACGGGGATGTCATACCATTGCGGTTGTACCAGCAGGACGATGAAGCAACCCGCCCAACCACAGATATCATCGATAAGCATTCGGTTGTTCTCATCAAGGAGCCGTTCTTCAAGTTTACGGCAGCTGGAGACTACAGTCTGCGAGTGGACCACCTTTCTGATGTCGTGTTTCTCTCAGACAATGATACGATAGTACCTGATCTGTTCCAACGACCGCGACACGCTGAGGTTAAAACAGCAGACACTTTGAAGCTAGAGGGGAATGCTCTCATAGACGGCAAAAAGTCCTGGCAAGCGATCCACAAGTAAGTATTGCACATAACGAGCGAGTGAGTGCGCTAACATGTAGGACAGGTATTCAGCCGCCTTGCTGCAATCGCCTACTCCCGACGAGATCAAAGTGATCAAGCTGAATCGATCATTGGCTTACCTCAGTACCAAGCAGTATGAGGCCGCGCTCTGGGATACTGGTTACCCAAGCTTCGGTGAAGAAGGATCAGAGATGGCAATGCTTCTTGCATCACAGGCACTGTACCACCTCCGCCATTACGACGAGTGCTGCGATCTGCTGAAAGAGCTCTGCAAATTATCTCCGACCGATCAAGACGCAGCCGATGCGCTTGCTCGTGCTCAGCGTCGTTGCGATGAGTGTAAGAGTGGACGATTCGACTTCAAACACCTCCGAAGCGAAGCAACAAAAATTCGACCACCTCATCTAGATCACGGGTCGTACATTGCGCCTGTAGAGGATCGCCCAGTGCAAGGTAAGGGTCGCGGTCTTTTCACAACCAGGCCCCTCAAGGTCGGCGATTTGGTGCTGTGTGAGAAGGCCTTCAGCCACGCTCATCTTGACCATGGACAAAAAGGTAACGCAAGCATCACCCGCTTGGTCAATGCCGAGTCGGGTTTGGACGCCACAGGCGTCAGGGCTGACCTTATCCGAATGATCGCGCAGAAGCTATTAAAGAACCCCTCCCTGGCTCCAGATTTCACTACACTGTATCATGGCAATTACCAAGCGGTCGCCACACAGCGCGTAGATGATCAGCCGGTAGTGGACACGTAAGTACCGCCCTACCACTCAAGTCGATTGACCTGGCAGACTAATGCGACGCCCCTCCAGCTTCCTCATCGAACGAATCGAGGCTTTCAACAACTTCTCCTGTCCCCTCACGAGTTTGAACATATACAAAGACCGAATAGCAGGGAGAATTACGCCCAAAGAAGACCTTCATAACTGTGGCGTCTGGATTAAGGCCTCATATATCAACCACAGCTGTCTTGGCAACGTCTGTCGAACTTTCATTGGAGACATGATGATCATCCGCGCGACCAAGGATCTGGATGCGGGCACAGAAGTCACATTCCCGTATGTTTTTCCGGAAGGGAAATACAATTCGAAGATGGTTGAAGAGCTAGACCATTGGGGCTTCACCTGCAAGTGCCCGCTCTGCGAAGATATCAAAACAACCGAATCTGCGGACCTCACGAAGAGGCAGGACTTGTTGGGCCAACTAGAAAAACTCTTTAAATCTCCGGTGACAGGAATCCAGTATACGAACGAGGTCGAACGCTTAGCCGAGGCGCTGAACGAGACGTACGCTCGTCCGGCGGAAGAAGTGCCTAGGCTCATGCTGTGGAGTCCGTACCACGTACTGACACGGATCTACATGGAGCGCCTCGTTGAGGCCAAAAGGAAGCGCCTCTTTATTGGCAAAGCATTGGGGGCCATGGGTATGTCTCTTCAAGTTATGGGCTTCACCTTTACCGGGCTTGACCGCACGTCTGCGCCTTTGGTGATTACAAGATGGGGTCATGTGGAAGATCGTCTGGTAGAAGTCTTCCTGCATGCGCGATCAGTGTTTGAGCAGTTGGGGTTGTTGACCAAGATGGAACAAGCGGATCGATATGCGCGTACAGTGTATCGAGTAGTGGTGGGGGAAGATGCGTCATTTGATGAGACGCACCCTAGGTCTTCGTAGGTCGTGCAAGCAGCGAATTTGATGCGTTGTAGAGTATGCACAAGCACATAGCGGTATCCACAAATACAATTCATTTCCTTGTTCGCATCGAACGCCAACGCCTGGCTTAGAAGATAGCGCCACAGTCCTCAAAGCCCTTTAACCATCTACGCTTGGAACTAATTGAAGGCGTACTACACTACAGCCTGGAACTGCGAATCCAACGTGTGTGAGCAGTACCATTGATCATGAACCAGCATAGGTACCATTGGCACTACCTATGAAGACCACCTCGACGGCCGCGAATCTGTTGCAAAAGTGAGCTTCAAGATGCCAAGTCAATATTAAGGAGAACATACGCCGCTGTGCCGCCGAAAATCTCTTTGATAGTCGCAGTATCGAGGACTCTGAGTAGAACTCCCATACAAATCGTAGCCACTATGGTGATCCAAATCCTGGTAATAGTTCTCTTCACATGGAACAGCCAGAGGATGATGAGGCTCGGAAGCAGCGAGATGGCGACAGTCGATAGAAGGGTCAAGGTCCACGTCACGACGGCGATCAGCGTGGTGTAATCGTAGTCCTCGGGATCTTGGATTTTGGTAGTAGGGAAAAGCGGGCGTAACTGTAATTCGTCAGTTCCAATTCCGTTTGCTATGCCATGACACGTACCAGTTTGAAGAAGTAGTCGTATGCTTTGACGAGTTTTGGGACGAACCACGCTGATGGCACGTTGTCGTCGTGGTCTTCACGCGTCAACGCCACCATGTCGTGTTTGGCGTCATCGCTCCACATTCGCAGAAGGTCGTCATCTTCCTGGAAGTCTTTTCCACGTCCATTCGTACGCAGCCATCTCCGCACGAACTTGAATCTCCTGTCACTGGGCTGTTGCAACTTCGTGACTTCTGCTGTAGTGAGAAGCAATCTGTCTGTAACAGAGCATTAGCAGTCTAAGACAAGATGATGGTGATAGGCTACGAACGGTATCTTTCCAACTTTGCTTGTGCCAGTTTCAGCAATGCCATTTGATTTGGGTGGTCATCATCACCCTCTGTGCTCGCATGTTCCAGATTCAATTCGAATAAGTTTGTAGAGTAATCTCCTCTTGGCGGACCAGCCATGTCATCTTCCCCTTGCTTAGTTCGCAGCTCCTTTTCGATTTCAATGAGCTCAGCTTGGAGACGCATCAAAACAAGCGCGTTCAGAGCCCCAAAGCGTCGAAATATGGCGACGTCCGGGTCTTCTCCCATCAAAATTGCAAGCTTTGGATATCCTTTGGGGGGCGGGGGGACGTTGGCCACACCAAAAATCTCCATTTTGTAGATGTATTGGCTTTCCAGCGAGAAAGAACAAAAAAAGCAATTTTGGAAGACAGGCAGGGCTACAACGAGGCCTTTGCCCAATGTAAATGCTCTTACGTGTTGAGAAGAGCAAGCGCAGAAGGCTTGACCCAGCTTTTGAAGGCTACCAAAGACATAGGTGCCTACGACTGACAGTCAGCATCGGCCATGTGTTAGATTCGCACTCATTCGCTCTGATGTTGCAATAGAGCCGCATGTAGCTGCGGCCAGGATTCTCAGCTTCCGGTTTAGAGTTCAGCTTTGATTGCGTAGCCACTGAGCTCTTCGCTTGGCATGCGTGCAGACAACACCGCTGAAGATGAAGCGTCCAATGACTTTCTTGTCATGTAGCCCAGGACTTTTGTGTAAAGACTTCATCGACACGGCAATGATGTCGGCATCGGCACTAACACCGTCAACGTAGCATCTAGCACTGTCCGCTCAGCATGAAATACAACAAAATATCATTCAAGTCCAATCCGTCGGGTAAGATCCCGCCAGTTCAAAAACACCAGTCCAATCCTGCCATAGGTATAGTATCAGAAAATCCTCGTCCAAACACTCCATCACCTTACAACCCCTCCCTGAACACACTCCTCCGACTCTCCGTCGGGCTGTTCTCCACACTGTCTACACTGCCCGCTTTCTTATGCTTGCTCACGCTCGGCATAGTCGCCGTGGCACCGCCCCGATAACTCGTATCCGCATCGAGCACCGGCCTAGGGCTCACACCCCTCAGACTCGCCGCATTATCGTCGCCAAACGGATTCCTCCCACTCTGCGCATCGAGATGTTCGTCGTAGGAGTCGCGTGTGCGGCTGCGTCCGCGACTTGGCTCGACATTGTTATACGGCGTGGGGTTGGCATACGGATTCGCAGTCTGTCCACCATGGGTAGACGCCGGTTCATGAAGCCCAAGTTCCTGCTCTTCATAGTATGCCTCGTCGCCTACGCGTGAACTCCACGCCTCATCAGGATCAAGACGACTTCCTGCGCCGCGGCCCCCGCCGACGCCGCGCCCGCCGCTGTAGCCGGCGTCTTCGTAGCCGCTACCCGTTGTGTACCGGTTGTTTCTGTTCTTGAACTTGCGCACCTGGGTGTCGAACCAGCCTTTGATGCCGGTGGGCGCGGGACCAGGGTAGTTTGAGGTTGCGCCGGCGTCAGAGGAGCGGCTGAAGGCTACCATTGGGTTCATGGAGGGTGGAGGTAGGCCATTGCGGGAGGCGTTCCACCGGGCGTAGAAGTACCAGCCGAAGTAGGAGAGGGAGAGGAGGAGGAGCAGGATGATGATGAAGACGAGCCAGCCGTTCATGGTGGCGGTGGTCGTGTGGGTTGTTGGGGGGAGGGCTTAGGGTCGCATGTGCGGTTTGCGTGTGGTGGGCGCGATTGCGCGGATCCGATGGGTTTGCTGTCGCTGATGCGGACGGTTGTGTCTCCGTGGACAGGAGGCGATGGGCGTGATGGTGTCCCGACAGGCGTGGAATGCGACGTCGGCTGGCTGCGCCGCAATGTCAATTTGTTGGTGTAGCTGGCAGGCGCGGCTGAGTTCCTCCAGCCCAGGCGGCTGCGTAGTATCGCCAAGTGATGACGTAACCCTTGCTGACGCCGCTGCCCGAATCTAACAACTGTTAAATTTGACGGAGAAATCCCTTGCGATGTTAACAATGGCAGGAAGTGATGTTCAACCCCTATCATTAAAGTCTGTTCCGACAGAAAAGTTTCAGATTGATGCGTGCTTTTCGTCTCACGACGAGGCCGTTATTGAACATGACGCACGCGGACTAGCGCCTACCGTGACGAAAAATGGGGCAGGTGGGATTGCGCGATTGGGCAGCCAGCCTATCACGCCTATCTCCACTCCATGGCGTGGGTGACATTGCATGTGGCAGGAACCGGACGTTCATCGCTCGGTTCGACTTCTGACCGTCTGTGAACTGATCAACATCTTACTCATTCGCGATCGCACGCACTACAGTAAAAAGTCCGGCCGAGTCATTGTTTACACTAGGCTGCCATCATGAACAGATCTGGCGGGGACGATCAGCATCGCAAGATCGTGTTCACGACTCAAAGCGTTGACGGCGAGTCAGAGGCTGTTGTTACGTTACAAGAGCACAAAGATCCCACGAGGCCGCCTTGGTTGATCAATGTATCAACACGACCTCGCGATCAACAACTGCCATTCTCCCCACCAGAAAAGCGCGAAACCCATGTTATCATCTCCAGTGGCTCCGGTCATGGACTCGCAGATGAGTTCTTCTCCAGCGCTGTTCGCCCGATCCTCGAAAGCATATATGGAAACAAAGGCATCGAAGAGTTGAAGGTACACACCACAGAATCACCAACAAGCATCTTGGAACTCACCGACGCTGTCCTGTTTCCAGCCGCCAATCAAGGAAAACCAATCCGCATCATCCTCCTCTCAGGCGACGGCGGCATCGTAGACCTAGTAAATGGTCTCTCCTCCAAAACACCAAACCCACAGACCTACATCCCCCCACAAGTCGTCATCCTCCCTCTCGGCACAGCAAACGCGCTCTACCACTCCATCAACGCAGGAAGATACGATGCATGGGGTCTCCCCACCCTGACATCATGGAAAACAAAGCCCCTTCCCACATTCACAGCGACCTTCTCCCCCGGCGCCCGCCTCCTCGTCGATGAAGGCCGACAAGGGCAAGAACTCCCAAAAGACGCGCAGGGCAACGGCATTCTTCACGGCGCCGTCGTAGCCTCCTGGGGCATGCACGCCACGCTCGTCGGCGACAGCGACACAACCGAGTACCGCAAGCACGGCGTCGAGCGCTTTAAGATGGCTGCGAAAGAAGCTTTGTATCCCGCCGACGGCTCACCTCCACATCCGTACAAAGGCAAAGTCTCTATCCTCCAGGAAAAAGATCGTTGGACCTCTCTACCAGAGGACGAACACATGTACATCCTCGCAACCATGGTCTCGCACCTCGAGAAACCATTCTGCATCTCTCCTGCTACTAAACCGCTAGATGGGAGTATGCACCTTGTTCACTTCACCCCAAGGAGTGGCGATGAGGTCATGGGCATTATGAATAAGGCGTATGATGGGGGTAGACATGTGGAGGATGGGGATGTGAGGTATGCGTGTATTGATGGGTTGAGGATTGAGTTTGAGGGCAAGGAGGAGGATGGGAGGTGGAGACGGATATGTATTGATGGGAAAATTGTAAGGTTGGAAATGGATGGGTGGGTTGAGGTTAGGAGGGTGAGGGAAGGAAGTGGGAAGGCGGTGTTGGATGTTGTTGTTGTTTAGGGTGGTGTTGTTGCGATTGAGAGGGGATTCTCATGATGTATAGACGACTAATGGATGACTTGAATAACGCATGGCTGAGCCTGTCTTGTGATATATTCTGCTCGCCACCCTGTTCAAAAGTTGTGAGACACCTTCTCAGTGAATACCGCTCACACAAACCCGCCCCGTCCCCTTCACTTCTGCAACCTCACGCCTGCGCCCTCACTTCACCATCGTCCGCAACAGCGCCACCCCATACCCGCACCCACACCCTCACACCCAGCTCCACCCACGTCTATTCATCAGCCCTTGCTCATGTATATATATTTTCTAATCTCCAGAATTACCCATCAAACGCGACTGCGGCCGCAGAGCAGTTTGGTCCCCCCGCCGTCTCCCCTTCATTGGGCCCCCCGCAGTTATCTCCCCTTCACTGGGCCCCCCGTTAAGAAAACAGCCGAGTTCGAAACTCTGGTCGTTCCTCATTTTTTTTGCCGGTTTTTTTTTGGACTTTTGGACTTGGTCCGCAGGTGAAGGAATAACGTGTCGCTACACCTTACCCCGCCCTTTCACTCACGTCGCTCTTCTTGCCTTGCTGCGCGCCGACGACCTTCAGCCTCGACTTGTGTTATCCACTCTTGCGGGAGGTCCAATGTGCTCTTGACGGGACGATTTTTCCCTTTCTCTGTCAACATGCGCCTGCTAACATGGAGGAAGTGCGCCTTGAACGAGTGCCATAATTCGGTATCAGCATCTGTATGGCCGTACGCAAAAGGTCGGGGAAAGTACGGATCGTTGCGCCAGAACGCATGGACTGCTTGCGCGATGCCAGTTGCGTCTTGAGCCATAGGACGGACGCAGTCGTAGTCTAGCATCCAGATGACGAGGTCTTGGTCTAGCAGCTTGAACATTTGTGTTGGCGTGTCGCCGCTGATAGATGATGTAGCCGGGGCCAGCACAAACTCAACATCATTCGCATCGACTTCAGCCTTCCAGTAACAATGCGCGAGCGCCTCGGCCAGAGTCTTGGCGATGACAACAGCATTCATACCCAGCTCTTCCATTTGATCAACGCATAGACCGTAGTTGCGCAGGTTAAAGAACATGCCAGGCGGGCGTCCTTCTGGTCTCCGCTTCCCCGTGTACACTCGAATAAGGCAATCTTCATTCTTCTTGCTCTTCCTCGTAGTATCTTTCAGCGTCTCACGACAGTACTTATCAACAAGCATCTCGCGAATAGGCAGTCCTACAGCAGGTATCCTCTCCTGCGTGTAGCTCCTACTCACCTCTTCACCCTCAGGAAAACAAGTGAAATTGTTATCCCACCAGAAACTATCAGCCTCCAAGACCTCGTAAGATTTCGGTATGCGCACAGGTAGCGTGTGTGTTTCGTCTGCTGCGATAACTCGTCGATGCATGTTGTGGTCGTTCAAGACGGAGCGGTTTGTATGCATGTGTTCGCGTTTGATGACCCAGGGGTCGAATCCGCGGATCCAGATACTGCCGCAGCATCCTCGGCCTATTTCACGGAAGGGGCCTCTGGGGTTGGGGGTTGTGTTCATGTTTGTGTGTGTGTGTGTGTGTGGTTGAATTGTGAAGGTGCGTGGATGGTGGAATTTATACTCGCCTTTGACTCATACAGACGTCGTGTGGGTGTACCCGTTATATTGGAGTTGGGTAGCCATTCTATGGTTCACGATGGGTTGTAGAC